GGCAGTTAGCTTCATAGCCAGCGTAGTTGTCTCAATCCGGCCCATGTTTCTCCCCATGTCCTCAAGCCTCCTCCTCTCCCCGCTTGTCCCTCCCACAATCGGCTGTGGAGGAGTGCTGGCACATTGGTGGCAGTCAGCCTTGGGCCCACCCTAGCTGTCTCAATCTGGCCCATGTTATCAGAAACTGAGAACTTGATTGATTGAAATGAGCAAGAGCATACATGCTTAAGTACCGAGCATCGGAGAGGATGGGAAGGGATAAGGGAGAATCGGAGGGAATCCCAAGGGAATCCTCCCAAATCGTGGGGATTTGGGATGGATTGGGTTGGGATAGGTTGGGGATGAAAACATAGCTACACCCAACCTAACAAATATGAGTATCCCTAAAACCAACAAAGTGTCAACACACAAAATTGTGCCAACCGAATTGCAGCCTATCTCTAACACATGTATCTCCCTATTTCATCAAGCCTCCTCCTCTCCACGCTCTTTGCTGCTGTTGATGCCGCAGTCCTGGCGTCCCTGCTCTACTACGCATGGTATGTCTTCATGTCCTGATACGTTTGTAGTACGTGTCTAACCCTGGTGGGGTCACACTCCTCCCCACGCTCCGCCCCACACTTCTCACCATTTCCCCAAGCCTCCTCCTCTCCGCGCTCTGTGCTGCTGTTGACATCGCAGCTCTGGCGTCCCTACTCTACAACTCATGGTACGTTTTCCTATCCTGGTACGCTTGTATGTGTCTAGCCCTGGTGGGGTCACAATCCTTCCCACACTGCTACCCACACTCCTCCCCACACTCCCCCCTTCACTCTTCACCACTTCCCCAAGCCTCCTCCTCTCCGCGCTCAGTGCTCCTCCTCTTATCCTGGAACCTCATCCTATCCTGGTACCTCATCCTATCCTGGTACCTCATCCTATCCTGGTACCTCATCCTATCCTGGTACCTCATCCTATCCTAGTACTTCATCCTATCCTGGTGCCTCATCCTATCCTGGTACCCCATCCTATCCTGGTACCCCATCCTATCCTGGTACCTCATCCTATCCTGGTACCTCATCCTATCATGGTACGCCATCCTATCCTGGTATATCTGCCCCATGCTTCATTACTCCTTCCCCTATCATGGCACGTCCTCCCCTGCTTCACTGTCGACGCCGCAACCCTGCTGTCCCTTCTCTTCCTATCCTGCTATGTCTCCCTCTCATTCTACCTCTTCCCGTCACCCAGGTCCCCTCCCCCATCGTCACGCATTATCGCTCTCATGCTACGTCTTCTCCATGCTTCGGCATTATTTTCCCCCTAACAGCCATCACATGCCACGCCTTAGACACCTCTCTGCTTGACTGCCGATTCCGCTTTCTCTTCTCCCCTTTTCTTCATTCTTCTTCCCTCCCACTTCCCTCTCACTTCCCTCCCACTTCCCTCCCACTTCCCTCCCTCCCTCCCCCCCCCCCTCCCCTCAGCCTTGTGCTCCGCTCACCGCCATCACATGCCGTGAATTCAACCCCTCTCTGCTTCTCCCTCCTCATGCACTCCCACCCTGCTCTTGGCCGTGCAGTCCCAGACACTCACTCTCTCTATTTCCCCCCCTCCCCCCCTCTTCCCCCATCTCCCCTCCAGCCTTCTGCTCCCCCTCACCACCGTCACAGCCCCTGACTTTATCCCCTCTCCTCCCTGTGCTTTCCCAAACACCTCCTCTCCCTATCCCCCCTCCCCCATCCCCACCCCCCTCCTCCCTCCCTCCCTCCAACATTGTCATTCCTGTGGCTGCCATCACAGACCATGATTTCAACGTTTCTCTGCTTGACTGCCGCTTCACCCCTTCTTCTTCCCTCTCACTTCCCCCCCTTCTTTCCCCCCCCCTCCCTCTGTCCCCCTGCTCCCTTCCTCCCTCCCTCCCTCCATCCAGCATTGTCATTCCTGTGGCTGCCATCATAGGCCATGGCCACGAGGACTCTTTGAGTCTCTCCCGCTGCCTGCTGCGGTGCCACGCCGCCCCTCTCTTAGCCATGCACTCCCAAACCCTCGCTCTGCTGGCCGTGCTATCATCCATTTGGGCCATCGTCGCGAGTTTTCTGTGGGTGCGTGCCTCTCTATTTTCTCCTGGCCTTGTCACTCCTGGACACTCTTTCTACTGCCTGTGTTCTCACCCATTGGGCCATAAACGCGAGTTTTGAAGTGTCTCAAAACTAAACTGCCCGTGCTGTGCTGTGACCCATACGGGCCGTAAACACACGTTTGGCAGAGACATGGAGCATTGCAAGCGGAATTGTCGACTCATGAGAATGACTTTTGAGCCGACTTGGAATGACTTATGAATTGACTTGGAATTACTTTTAAGTTGACTTGGAATGGCTTTTGATTCAACTTGGAATGGCGTTTGATCGGAATGAACAGACTTTTGAGTCAGAATGAACTGACTTTTGAGTCAGAATGAATTGACTTTTGAGTCGGAATGGATTGAATTTTGAGTCGGAAGGAATTGAATTTTGAGTCGGAATGAACTAACTTTTGAGTCAAAATGAATTGACGTTTGAGTCGGAATGAATTGACTTTTGAGTCGGAATGAACTGACTTTTGAGTCGACTCATAGGCCTTCGTCGCGAGTTTTTCCAGGGACTTAGAGCAGTGCAAACTAGCCCCTCCTGTTGCCAAATTCTTAGGGCTTTAATCCTTGTTATAGCACAACATTGAAGGGCACAGTCTCAAAGCAGTGCATACTAGCCCCTCCTGTTTCCTCTGCTCTCTCCCTTCATCCCACCCCCAGCGCCTTGCTGGCTGTGTTGCGGCGATGGTACTTGCACCTTGGTGGCTCTGTTGCGGCAATAGTATTTGGGCCCTTGAGCTACGCCAGTAGCAGCTGAGCTGGCGGCATTTCTGAACTCCCAAATGCTAATGCATTTCTTGGCCTCTTCTCTCTCCCACAGCCTTGTTGGCTATGTTGTGGCGATAGTTCTTGCAGCCTTGGATGCGCTAGCAGCAGTAGCTGAGCTGGCTTTTTCTGAACCCCCTGCATGCCCATGCATTTCTCGCCCTCTATTCCCTCCTGTCACCTTGTTGGCTTGGCTATGTTGTGGCAATAGCTCTTGCGCCCTTGGATTGCGCCAGCAGCAGCAGCTCAGCTGTGTATGCTGCTCAAGCGCGTAGAATCTCACATATTTGTCCTTATTTCTCTTCCTCGTGCCCCACTCCCAGAGCCTTGTTGGCTACGTCGTGGCGATTGTTCTTGCGTTAAATGCACGGGATGCATTTCTGGGTTCCCTAAATGCTCACTCATTTCGTTCGTTTTCTGTCTTCCTTCATCCCACCGCCAGAGTCTTGTTGGCTACGTCGTGACGATTGTTCTTGTGGCTTTGAATGCACTAGCAACAGCCGAGCAGCTGCATTTCTGAAGCCCCTGGATGCTCACAAATTTGTCTCTCATTTCTCTCCTTTTCTCTACATTTACCCCACTACCAGAGCCTAGTTACCATGTTAAAATGAGCTAGCTAGGGGGAAAAGCCATGAATGGCGAGAGGTTTAGGAAGGAGAGAAAATGTCAAGAGAAGAGAGAATGAGATAAGAAGAGAGAGGGATACAAGAAGGAGGGCTGTACCCTCTACAGTAGAATCCAGTAACACCTACCAAGCCTACCATTATATATATATCAAATATATAATTTAACACACCCCCTAGGCTTGGTAGCTGAAAGCCCACCACACACACAACACACTAAGCCACACACCCCCTAAGCCTAGCACCCCCATACTCAGCAGCAGCGACAGCTACTCCAGCAGGGTCAGCCCCTCGGCGCGTGAGGCGGCGACCTCGACAGCAAGGGCAGTGGCTCTAACGACGGCGACGGCGGCAGCGTCGACAGCGGCGGCGTGGCCAGCGGCACCAGCTGCAGCGGCGGTGGAGCTCGCAGCACTCGGCGGCGTGGCCGGGCTCCGCGACGGTGGGACAGCCGGCGCGAGTCAGCCGTCGGCTGCGGCGAGGAAGTGGGGATGCAGGGGAAGGGGCGGGGCTTCAGCAGCGAAGCCCAGGAGCATGCCGCCCCGTGTGGCGCATTGGCTGCATGCGGGCGTGCTGGCCAGCGCTAAGACGGGGCGCTGGCCGCTGCCTTCCGTGCCGTACGCGCGCTGGCAGCACGTCGCCACGGCAGCACAACGGCGACGTCACGCCGCCATGGCTTGACGTCGACGCCACGAAATCGCGACGCCACGGCAGCTCGTCGAGTTGGCCGCGGCAGCACGACGCGGCTGGCGACACGACGACGCCGCCACAGCAGCACGACGCGGCCGCCATGGCAGCGTGAGAGGGAGAGGAGGAGTGCGCGGCAGAAGCGTGATAAGCAGGCCCAGGAAGAGCAACCTGCTCTAAAACCGTATCAAAATAAGCTAGCTAGGAAGAGGAGACGCCATGAATGGTGAGAGGTTTAGGAAGGAGAGAAAATGCCGAGAGAAGAGAGAATGAGATTAGAAGAGAGAGTGATACAAGAAGGGGGGTTGTACCCGCTACAGTAGAATCCAGTAACACCTACAAAGCCTACCATTATATATATATATATATATATCAAATATATAATTTAACAGTAGGCTACCTCGATGCGATAATTGCTTGTGGGTCAAGCTGGAGGGGGGGAGATTGTGTTCACTGTTCTCGCAACGTTAGCGATTAGTATCGGTAATGTGTATATTGGTTAGTTTATACTCTGCGGTAGTAGCATGTTTTATCATCTTTGTCGGTGTCTCTACGTTGTTGCTTGAACAGATTCTAGGTGAGTCTTACATCTTGAATGTCTGATCTGATGTATATTACACGCTCATTTAATTATGCTTGATTTTAGTTATAACTAAATTGGTGTACTTAATTTTCGAATTGGATATCAATGTGATTTATTTATAATAATGAGAATACAGGTAAACCGTCTCAAATCTCTTTGCACACATGCACCTTCCCTACTGGGCTCAGATTTGCCTGGTTTCCTAAATCGGATGCGTACTATGGATCGAACGATCGGACGGTTCACAATGGCTCCTGAACTCCCAGCCAGATGGTCCGTCGGCTCTTGATGCTTTCGTCGCCTCCAATTGCGCGTCGGCTTTTTCCGCCTTGCGAAACGACCAGCGCGCCTGTCGCACAGGCTTTTCCCCTCGTCGTCATCGCACGTGTCCTTCTGAACGACATTTATTCGGATCGCACGTTCGCACACGAGCAGTACAGGCGTTTCCTCTCGCCATCTCGCCATCGCAGAGAGTCGTAAGGTGTCGCAGAGCTCCATCTCTTTCGTTTTTCTAGTCGCTTTCCCAATCAGTCGTGGCGATTTTGTCGCTCACCGTCCCATTTCCCCCCCTCTTCCGTGTCGAGTCGATACCCGTACACCCTCGGCAACTGTAGCGTAGCGATTCCCAGCCGTCGCCTCCTGTTTGCCGTCTGCCGTCTGCCGTCTGCCGTCTGCCGTCTGTCGTCTCCTGTTCGCCGTCATTCGACTGTTATTTTCCTTTTGCATTATACCCGCGGGCAAACCGTTCTGCCGGCATCTGGGAATGGCGAGCGACTCAGGGGATTCAGATCGGTGGAGAGAGGTGGAGGCCGTCCTACAGGAGTTTCAGCAGCACGGGCAGGAATTCGGGAAGCAACAATTTGGGCAGCAATATGCGCAGCAACAGCAGCAACCGCCGCAGCAGCAGCATCAGCAGCAGCAGCAGCATCAGCAGCAGCAGCAGCAGCAGCATCAGCAGCCGCAGCAAACGAGGGAGGTTGCGACGGAAGGGCGCGGGGGACGGGGGATGGATGCGGGTGGGGGGAGGGGGAGAGGCGGAGGACGAGGGGATTGGGGGAGAGGCGGGGGAAAGGAGGGATGGGGGAGGGGAAGGGGCAGGGGGAATGGGGGAGGGGGAGAGGGCGGCAGAAGGGGGATGCGGGGGGGCAGGGCGGAGGGGGAGAGGAGGGAAGATGGGGGGAGAGTGGTAGAGGCGGGGAGGGAGGCAGACGGGGGGAGGGAAGCAGATGGGGGAGGGCGGGAGGGGCGGAGGGAAGGGACTTGTGGGGGACTGGGGTAGAGGTGAGGGGGGAGCAATGGGGGGGAGGGGTGGTAGTGTGAGTGGTGCAGCAGATGGGGGAAGGTGGGGATGGGAGGGAGGGAGGGGCAGGGGAAGTGGAGGAGGAAGGGGCATGGGAGGGGAGGAAGTAGCGATGGGAGCAGCAGCAGGGGCAGCAGCAGCAGCAGCAGCAGCAGCAGGAGTGGCAAGGGCAGGAGAGACGAGGGTGGGAGAGACGAAGGAGCCTAAGAGCGGAGGGAGTGACTATGGGGAGCTGCTGACTGTGGCACGGCAGCAGCAGCAGCAGCAGCAGCAGGGGCTGCAGGAAGGGCCGGAGGAGGGGTTGGGCGCGGGGGAGGGTCTGTGGGGGCCTGGAATGGAGAGCTCAGCTGCCTCTGTTGGTGGTAAGAAGCGGGGGGAATAGCGACAGCACAGGGGAAAGAGGGCAGGAAGAGGGGGTGGGAGCAGGGGAGGGGTTGTGGGGAGTGGGAGCAGACGGTTCAGGTGCTTCTGTTGATGTTAAGACGGTTCAGGTGCTTCTGTTGATGTTAAGACGGTTCAGGTGCTTCTGTTGATGTTAAGACGGTTCAGGTGCTTCTGTTGATGTTAAGACAGTTCAGGTGCTTCTGTTGATGTTAAGACGGTTCAGGTGCTTCTGTTGATGTTGAGACGGTTCAGGTGCTTCTGTTGATGTTAAGACGGTTCAGGTGCTTCTGTTGATGTTAAGACGGTTCAGGTGCTTCTGTTGATGTTAAGGCGTATCGTGACGCCCTTGCGCCATTCCCTCTACCGTTTCCTCTCTCATTCCCTCTACCGTTTCCTCTCTCATTCCCTCTACCGTTTCCTCTCTCATTCCCTCTACCGTTTCCTCTCTCATTCCCTCTACCGTTTCCTCTCTCATTCCCTCTACCGTTTCCTCTCTCATTCCCTCTACCGTTTCCTCTCTCATTCCCTCTACCGTTTCCTCTCTCTTTCCCTCTACCGTTTCCTCTCTCATTCCCTCTACCGTTTCCTCTCTCATTCCCTCTACCGTTTCCTCTCTCATTCCCTCTACCGTTTCCTCTCTCATTCCCTCTACCGTTTCCTCTCTCATTCCCTCTACCGTTTCCTCTCTCATTCCCTCTACCGTTTCCTCTCTCTTTCCCTCTACCGTTTCCTCTCTCATTCCCTCTACCGTTTCCTCTCTCATTCCCTCTACCGTTTCCTCTCTCATTCCCTCTCTCGTTTCCTCCTCGATTTTCTCACCATTTCCCCCTCCCTCTCTCTCGTGGCCCTGCCAGCAGTAGTTCCTCTGGGCCGTCTCTGATCCAACTGCCGCATGCTGAAGGATGTCCTGCATTCTCTACCTCTCCCCAACTTTGTCACCCGTCTTCTCCCCCTCGCTACAATCCCCCCCCTCCCGCCTCATTTCTCTCCCTCCACCAACGCCCTCTCTGGGCCGCCTAGATTCTCGAAGCCTAATGCCGCATGGTGAAGGGTGTTTTGCGTTCTCTGCCTCTCCCCCGTCTGTTTCACCCATCTTCTCCTCTACCCTCCCCCTGTCTCCCCTCCCCCGTTCTTCCCCCTCCACCAGCCTCCCCTTTCTTCCCTTCCGGCTCCCTTCAATTCCCCCAGGACCCCCTCTGGGCCTCTGCAAAGCCATCTGCTGCTGCTAGGTGACTTTTGAGTCGACTCAAAAGTCAATTCCTCCAGGACCCCCTCTGGGCCTTCGCGAAGCCATCTGCTGCGTCTGCTCACTTAGTTCAGTTGGGAAAGCCTGTTAAGCATTCTCCACTTTCCTTTTCCTCCTGCCTCAATCTCTCCCGCCCCCCCCTTACCCCCTCTCCCCCCTCCACCAGCCTCCCCTTTCTTTCCTTCCGGCTCCCTTCAATTCCTCCAAGACCCCCTCTGGGCCTTCACAAAGCGATCTGCTGCTGCTCCACCCTCTCCCTCAACTCCCTCAGAGGTGATAGCCATAGCCGCAAATCGAGGATAGCAGAGCCTAGTATTGACTGGAAAGACCCCCTCTGGGCCGTCACCACCAAACATACTACTGCTGCTCCACCCTCTCCCTCTGAGGTGAGCAGCAAATCCAGGATAGCAAAATAGAGAGTCGACTTGAAGGACCCCCTCTGGGCCTCCGCGTAGCGATCTGCTGCTGTTCCACATGCCTCCTCAACTGCCTCTGAGATGAGAACAGCAAATCCAGGATAGTAGCGCCTTGTATTGACTGGAAAGATCCCCTATGGGCATTCGTGAAGCCTTTTGCTGCTGCTTTACCCTCTCCCTCAACTGGCACTGAGGTGAGGGGAGCATATTCAGCTCAGAGTAACAGCCACTAGAGTCGACTCAAATGACTCTAGAGTCCTCTCGAAAGATCCCATCTGGGCCTTCGCCAAGACATCCGTTGCTGTTCCACCCTCTCCCTCAACTGCCAGTGAGGTGAGGGGAGAAAATTCAGGATTAGTGGTTCTGCAATCGACTTAAACACCCAAAACCGTTGTGACTTAGAATAAATGCCCCTCTCACCGTCACCAAGCCATCCACATCCACTGCTGAGGCGAGGGGGGCATGAGTTGATGAAGGATGGCCATCGCCCTCTCCCTCATCTGCCACTGAGGCGAGGGGAGCAAATTCAGGATGAGTGGTTCTGCAATTGACTTAAACACCCCTCTCACCTCACCAATCCATCCACTGCTGTTCCACCCTCTCCCTCAACTGCCACTGAGGTGTGGGGAGCAAATCCAGAATAGCAGAATCTAGAGTTGACTCGAAAGACACCCTCTGGGCCTTCGCCAAGCCTGGCACGGGCACTGGGGCAGGCCGAGCAGCTCTTGTAAACTTCATGCTTAGCCGCACTGCAGAGCAACATAGTCCTGTGTTTGTTGATTGGTTGTTCGCACTGTTGCCACTCCTGGCACGGGCACTGGGGTATGCGTCTCCCCTGTGATGCATACCCCGTCGTTGCAACCCCCACTTCCCTCTCTGTTCCGCTTTGTTGACTTTGCTCAGCCTTTTGTCAGCCAAGTCAGCTTGCTTCTTCCACCACTACATTTCTTTCTCTCTCCTTTCCAAGCATTTTCCCCCCGGCGGCGTTGCAAGCAAAAGCGCCTGCAGGGCCTGCTGCTGCCCTCCGAGCTGCTGTATCATCTCTCACTTGTGCTCTTTCTCTCCCCCGTTCCTCCTTTCGCTTTCCACCCCCCCACCCTCGCGCCTCTCCCCAGAGCAGCTGGTCCAGATTGACTCAGAGGGGCTGGAAAAACACCTGCGTGGCCTGCCACTGCTGCACCCACATACCTCAAACTGACCTGTTCTACCTCCATGCTCCCTCTACTCCCCCTCTCCCTCCTGTCCTCCCTTTTCCTCCCTCCAGCCCCCCCCCCTCCGTGTTCCCATACTCCAAGCTCTCCCCAGAGCTGCTCCTGAGTTCGACTTAGAGGCGTGGAAGAAACACCCGCAGGCATTTCCCAGTCATCTATGCGTCTTTTTACCCCTCTCCACCCCCCTATACCTCGCAGCTTCCCTAAAAAAACCTGCTTCAGGTCGACTCAGTGGTGCTGCAGAGGTTCCTGCAGGCTGTGCCGGCGCAGAGGCACCTGCAGGCTGCTGGTACCAGACATCTTTCTCTCTCGTCTGCTGCGCTTTGCCATTCCCTCCTCTCTCGCAGCACTCCCCCGACCAGGGAGCAGCTCCGTCAGTTTGACTCAGGGGTGTGGAAGAAACGCCTGCAGGCATTTCAAATGCTGCTACTACACATCTATGCGGCTTTGAGAATTCTCAAAGACATGCAGGCATTTCAAATGCTGCTACCAGACATCTATGCCTCTTTCTTGCCCCGGTTCACCCCCCCTTCCCCCCGTCCCTTCCTTTCCCTTGCAGCTCTCCCCAGAGCAGCTCCTCCAGTTTGACTCAGAGGCGTTGGAGAAGCACCTGCAGGGCCTGCCATTGCCCTCGCTGCTGCTGCTCTCGCCACACGACCAAGCCACCTTCTTCCCCCATGAGGTATTGGTCATTGCTCACCTTGTATGGTATGTGACTGTAAGGAAGCAGGGGGACTGCCCCTGACCTCGCTGCTGCTCTCCCCTGGCGACCATGCCACTTTTTTCCCTCATGAGATGAGTGGCTCATGAGGTGAGTGGCTCATGAGGTGAGTGGCTCATGAGGTGAGTGGCTCATGAGGTGAGTGGCTCATGAGGTGAGTGGCTCATGAGGTGAGTGGCTCATGAGGTGAGTGGCTCATGAGGTGAGTGGCTCATGAGGTGAGTGGCTCATGAGGTTCTTGCCATAGCTTGCCTTACCAACAATGTGTGCGGACCAGGATGTGCCGTTTCCCTCGCTGCTGCTGCTCTCCCCCCGCGACCGAGCCACCCTCTTTCCCCATGAAGTATTTCTCACTGCTTACCTTATACGCCATGTGACATAAGGATGCAGGGCCTGCCACACCACTCCCCGCTGCTGCTCCTGCTGACACAATTCTCGAGGCCTTTTTCATCTTTCCTCTCTTCTCCCCTCCTCCCCGCGAGAGACTGGTCGCGTTTCGCGCCGCTTGATCCCCTGTATCCCTCACTCCCCTATTTCCAGCTGGCGCACCAGCAAGCAAGCCAAGGCTCCCTTCCTCTCCCTCTCTGCCTGTCACAGCGTGCCACCACTGGTGGCTGGCTGGACACCCCGGTGCTGTGCCAGTGACGAGAGGGACTGGCTGGTGACCCATTCTCCTCAGTTCCCTGCACCGTACCCCTCTCTTCCCTCATACCAGCAGGCACAGACCGAACCAAGGCAGGCAATCCCTTCCTCGCCTTCCCTTGGCTGCCACCACTGGTGGCTGGACCCCGGGTGCTATGCCACGGACGAGAAGGACTGGTTTGTGTCAGAGTCAATCAATGAGAGGGAGTGGAGAGCGGTGGGGGAAGAGGAGGAAGAGAGTACAGATAGAGGGCATGACTTGGAGAAGGAGATCGAGTCTCAGCTGGGGCAGCAGCAGCAGCAGCGGCGGCCATTCGGTGAGGCAGCGTCAATCAATAGTGCGTCTGTTTCCGAAGCAGCGCTGGAGTCGCAGGCTGGCGCTCCAAGCTCGAGCTCTATGCAGCCTGCGACAGCCATTCAAACCGCAGTGAGCATACAGCAAGGAGCTGTGAAGCAGCAGTCAGGGCAGTCGGGGCAGCCAGGGCAGTCCGGGCAGTCGGGGCAGTCCGGGCAGCAAGCAGGATGTACGAATGGGCATGGGTTTGCAGGCGAAGATGATTTGGATGAGCTGCTTGGGGGGGAGGCAGGGAGCGGCAGTGGTGCAACTAACGGCGGGATCAAGGCAGCAGTGAGGCAGCAGACGGGGCATCAAGCAGGAGAGGAGCACAGGCATGGGTTTGCAGGAGAAGATGATTTGGACGAGCTGCTTGGGGGGGAGACAGGGAGCGTGCAGGCTGGCAGCATTAGCGGCGCAAGCAAGGGAGAGGTGAAGGCAGCGGTGAGGCAGCAGACGAGGCAGCAAGGAGGAGATGAGGATGGGCATGGGTTTGCAGGGGACGATGATTTGGATTGCCTGCTTGGCGCTCAGACAGGGAGCAGCAACGGTGCAACCAAGGGAGTCAAGCCAGCTGTTGGTTCTGGTGTGTCAATTGTTGCACCGATGAAGCCGGAACTGAAGCCCACAGCAGGAAAGACACCGGCGCTGGATGACTTCGATGAATGGTTCGATTCTGTCACGTGAATGTTTTCCTGTCGTCGTTCTTGTTGATGGGATGGTACGCAAATTTCGTTCTGGGTGTCTGTGATGCGCGCTTGTTCTTCAAATGACATGTGTACCTACCAAACGGGATACTTACGTATTTTGGAAACAAGAGTTGTACCATGCTGCTTTAACATAAATCATCAAGGCAATGCACCATAGTAAGCTACTGGGCCTGGATTCCTTCTCCGTGTGTTCATCTGTAGGGGGCCTTTCACGGGTTCAATCTCAGGCCAGACGCAGGCCAGACGCACCCCCCCCCCCCCCAACCAAGCCAGGGATGGTTGGACAACGCCATATGAGTTGCTCTTCGGCGAAAAACCTTATCTGAGGATGGCTTGCGTCTAGGGGTGCATGCCGCACTTTCTCATTCCGTAGAACAAGCGTGGGGGAAAGGTGGCACCTAAGGCCCATTGGGCTCTCCACCTGGGGATGTCACCGAATAATAAGGGCTGATTGGGCTGGTTGGTCATCACAGTAGAGGCGGTCTTCTACGAAACCATGTCACCAGACGGGTGGAAGGCGACAAAGCAGCCTCCCACTTAGGTCGTTGACCCTGTTGTCTTCGAGCAGGCGTCCTCATGGCCAGATATGGATGCAAAAGAGGAGGATGATGGGATTGAGGTTGTTCAGACTCTACCGCCTGCGCCAATTTTGACTCCTCGACCCAAGTCTCCTTCGGCAGAAAGCCCTCTAGCCATGGGACCTCCTGTTGAGGATTCTTCTGCAGATGAGCCCTCTCCCTTGGTCGAAGAGCCTGATGCGCCCTCGACATCACGAATTTCGCCCTCTTCTTCTGCATCGTCCTTTGGTGAGGAGGGGAGTGAGGTGCCTCTTGGTGTCATCCCCAGTGAACGACGCACGGAAGAGCGGCAGAAGAATGTTTTAGACGCAGTACCTGCAAAATAGTTGTCTGCGGTGGAGCAGTTTGCAGAGGAGCTATCGGCAGAAGAGCGGTCTGTAGGGGAGCTGACTGCAGAAGAACCGCTTACAGAGCAGCAAACTCTGCGGTGATCGACGCACTCCAGCAAGGGTGTTCCGCCAATTCGTTACCGCGTGGCATTGACGACATTCTCGATGAACGTCATTGATGGCAGAGACGAAGACATAGCACTCAAGGAGCTTGACTCAGCAAAAGATCGTATCGCAAATCCAGGACGTCGTTAGGACACATCAAAGATGCCTGTCCCTGTCGCTCTGAAAAGTTGGAAGGGCGCAGCAGTAAAGGCGGCGATGGACAAGGAGATGCATGCTTTGTGGGACCGGGAAACTTGGGATTTGGTTTTCCCACCTCCTGGCGTTACTGTAATGCGATGGGAAATCGTTGGGTTCTCACTACCTAGTATTTTCCCGACAATACGATAGAGAGAAGGAAAGGGCATGTCGTCGTTCAGGGGTTCACGCAGCTGCCCAATCTGGACTACGACCTGTTGTATGCTCCCTTTGGCAACTATGTTACTGCTCTTCTATAGCTGCTCATTACTACGACATTTGACTGGGAGCTGATGCAGCTCGACATAACGACTACCTTTCTAAATGCACCCATCGATCGCTCTCTCTACATGAAGTAGTTGAAGTAATACGACGACGACACTGGCAGACTTTGCCTGCTAAAGAAGAGTCGGTACGTAGAGTCCAAAGGTGTGGTATGAAGAGCTCGACGGAGTTCTGCAGAGCGAAGGCTGGTCGAAGAATCAGGTCGACGAAGCCTTGTACTTCCATGAGGACGAGCATGGCGACAAGTGCTACTTGCTCGTCTATGTCGACGATCTGCTGGCTGCAAGTCGGAGCAAGGCGCATTTGGCAGAGTTGAAGATTCTGCTTGAAAATGCAATTAAGCTTCGAGAAATCAGTCCTGTGCAGAAGTACTTGGGGCTGGATTTGATCAGGAATAGCGCTGCTCGGAAGATTTTGCTGCACCAGAGAGGCTACATCGACAAACTACAGAGGCGTTTTCTGCCAAAGGGGCCTCCTCGACAAATCCTGAAAATGCCGATTTCTGTCGGTGCGTTCAAGGAGCTGACGCTCGAAGATGCAGAGCTGCAAGGGCGCACAGAAGAAGAGTACCGGCATAGAGTGGGGTCTCTATAGATCGCCGCCTACACGACACGTCCGAACATCGCTTTTGTCTTGCACAAGCTCACATCTGGGCAGACTACTTGAAGTGATTAGCACTGGAAGGAGCTTGATCGCAGCATTGCGTACCTCAGCTCTCTCGAATATGGATAACATGCAACTATTTAGCATCATTGCGTTGGTGGGTATCTTGCATTACGATATATGTACCTTCTATTTTACTTATCACACTCGTTTTTGCACATAACTACCTTCAAATTACTTATCGCACTTGATTTAACATATATGTACATTTTTTAGCAGCGCTGTGCGGTCCGTTAGGAAAGCTCCCAAAAAAATCGGAGGCAATCCCTGCATGCAATGGCGCGTCTAAGCTGTTGGATAAGGAGACCTTTATCTGACGATGACGCATGCACTGCGATTCAACTAACCCTCTGACTCTCGATTCGTTCCCCTTTGCCGATCCCCAGCAAACCGAGGCCAACCTTTCCAGCAAGTTCTCAGCCCTCCATTTACTCTGGCTGTCAGTCTTTCCCCTAATCTTGTTTGAACGTTCAAACAAAGCCTTTTCCAAATCACTTTCTCCACACTCTCCCTAGGATAGAGCCATTTCGACAGCATCGTAGTTTTAATTATTATCGCCATGCATCTTTGGGCAGCTATCTCACATTTCCTCCTTGCTGAGCCTTTCCTAAAACCGACCAATCTTTTACACCTTTTTTACCGCGAAATTATTGCAATATCGCCACCGTATGCCTCGCTTCCTGTAGCCTGATTCATGGCATCCGTTCCACATTCAAGCCCATTCGTCCCAATGGTGCTCCCTTTCAGAGCATTACCCGCCTTGCCGATCCCAAAACCGAGTAGGAACCATAGATCTTAAAGCGCCGAGGCGCTCACGGTTAAACCCGAAATTTCTGAGCTCCATTAATGACGATATTGATGAAGGTACGCCACGTTGGAAACTCCCTAGTTAGATCCCATTTGGCATGCCTCGCTGTCGTTTGATCGAGTTGTTCCCCCTGTTTGTTATTGACACCAACAATCCACACCCCGCTTAAACCCCTCACATTTCCATGTAGGAAACCGCTTCATTTTAATCAACAACCTCTCCAAACCCGCATCAGTCCATCGCGCAGTCGCCACCAAGAGAAAACGCGTTGGGCGCAAGGCCGCTGCCCGTGCTCATGCCGTTCAGCGCCATGCTGGAGCTCCAGGCTCGTTCGCCGCACCCTCCACGGCCCACCCAGGCGCTGCCACCTTCACCACTTCACCTCAGGGCGTTGCTGTTGCCCATTTTCCTGCCTCCGCATACGCGCACGCCTCCTCTGCAGCTTTCACCATCAGCGTTGCACGGGCTGTGTCGAATCCTCTCACATGTCCTGCAGCGTATGCCCTGACAACCTCTGCGGAGCCACAGCCACACCCCTTGCTGGCGTGTCCTCCGCCTATGCATCTCCCCCCCCTGCTTTTGCCTCTAACCATCCTCGTGCCGCACATGTGGCACCCGCCAGGACACCGCAGACCTCATCCTCCCATCCTGCGGGTGTGACAGCCGTTGTCCCTGCTGGTGTGGCATCTGGACCAGCCTCATCCTCATCTGCTCTCCGCGCCTCCCCTCCGTCCTTGCCCTTTCTGCAACACGCCGCCATGTCTCCCGCCTCACCTGCACCTCCTGCTGCTGTGGCATCTGGACCAGCCTCATCCCCATCTGCTCTCTGCGCCTCCCCTCCCTCCTCTGCCTGTGTGCAGCCCACAGCCATGATGCCAGAAGCAGCGGGTGCTCACGCCGCTGGATTGATCTCTCCGGTGGCAATTTCACAATCCGTGCTCGCCGCTCAACTCAACTCCAATCCTCAACCTATTTGCGCTCCTCTCCCTATCTGCACCCCTCTTATCTCCATCCCACCCCGGCTGCAGTTGCGTATGCTGGTGTGGCCACTAACTCGGCTCAAACCCCCCCCCCCCGGAGGTGTCGCTCGCACCCACTCCTACCCCCTTGGGCAGCCCTCGTCCAACCGGAGCACCACATCTCAGTTCTTGTCCACCAGGATTGCCTTTGCGACCGGTCTCCTCCATTGCGGACTTGCTGTCCCACACCGTGGGCCTTCCATGCCGGTACTATCCCTTGATTCCTCTGGTTGCCACTACGTTGCCTTTGAGGTGCCGCACATTCCATGCATGTACCTTTTCCACATATTCCATTAGCGTCTTATTAACACCCAAAGCCCCAAATATCCCTATGTACTCTCCATTGCCGCATAGCCCCGAACGTCCCTTTCTGTATTCCCCTCCTCTTAGGCTCACTTTGCCCTTGTCGTGCCTTTCCTAAACCTCACTATCTGCTCCCTTCCCCTCTGTCATTGCTTCTCATTCCCCGCCCTTTGCTTCATGCACAGGCCTTTGCCCTCCCCCATGGACTTGCTGCTAGGGTTTCTCCTGCTGGCCTCCCTTCTGCATCTGCTTCACTATCCTATGTGCATCCACCCTATCCCTTCTCCTACGCCTCACACCCATCTGCCGGTGTGGCCTCCGCTACCACCACCACTGCACTCATCCCTCACCTCCGCTCCTCTACCCCTGTCCAGCACTCCCACCTTCCCAACACCTTCGCATCAAACCCTAATCTCACAAACTATTCACATGAGCCGTCGCTTCCACCCGTGCATACTCTTGACACTCCATCCTCCCTTGGTGGCAACAATTGCTCCGCCGCTCACTTCTCATCTGCATCTCCCGCTGATCCCTCCCAGTCCATCCTTGCTGCATTTTATGGCTCTGCGCTTGGAAGCCAACGCCCATATGGTCTCCGTGCACGCCAGAAGCCATCCGCATTTGCTGAGGGAGAGGACAAAGACTCTTCCAACGATGAGGAAATGCAAGGGGCGGATGGCATGATGGGTGTGGCGTGCAATGACGACCCGCTCAACGATTCTCGGTCTCTTCTTCAGCCCGCAGCCTTACGTGGGGCCAGAGCTGCCCCGGAGGTGGCGCAAGCGGAAATCCGTGCAACGGCACGCCGCATTGCAGAGTTAGAGAATGAATCACGCAG